TGCTGGGTCTGTCAAGTGACCCTAAAATATTGCCTGGTGGTGACACTCAGTAGTGGGGAGAGCAAGATCCTGGAAAGCCCAACATTGTCTTGCGTATCCCCCACTCCGGGACAATGGGTTCCCCAGGAGCTTGGGAATGCGGTTTTCTCAATTTCGAGTGCCTTGGCTGCCGAGTTGCGTGCTGGGGTATTGGATCCTGAAAGTCCACAGGGACCAGGTCAGGAGTATTTGATGCAGACAAGAAAATTGACGTGGCCACCAACAATTAGTGGTGGTGTATGTTTTCGATGTTTTCTTGCGTCTTATGAAGTGTGTGCTGCTTGGTTACGCGACGGATGCCAAGGGAGTCTAGGGAGCTGATGGAGGGGCTACTACACCTGGAGGATTTTCGGCTCAATGACAACAACCTCAGAGGTTGTTCGTGCTTCCGTAGGTTGGTCTTTGTTGTGTGTCCCATAGAATATGCTCGACTCAGAAACAGATGGCCTTTGCACAGGTGGTCCAGTTGGTGACGTCATATACCTGCTGGCAAGTAGGGTTCCAACATTTCCAGAGTGAAAAATCTGGCATTACGGTGGAACGTACTCGGTCGTGACGGAGCACACCTGCAATTGACAGTTCGGATAAGTACTACTAGCTCGTTTGTAGAATTCTCCCGAGCACCGCATGAGGCGTACGCACAAAATGAGTTTGTTGTCTAAGACCGAATACACTGGAGTGTGTTTGTGAAGAGAAAAGTTCGGAGCATCTCCCAGATCTACGAATGCTCTGATGTTCTTGTCGTGCCGCGCTGGAGGGAGGCTGATGGTTTGGATGCCTTGGGTCGATCATCTGGGTTCTCAGAAAGAGGAGAACGCTGCCTTGCTGCTCCTTCAGCAAGATTTTGAAAGACGCGTGTCTACTTGACCCAAACCCGCCTCTGAGGGTCACACGGCAGGAAAGAGGTCAGTAGCTAATAGCTACGTCGACGTTGGACCATGGATGGTCAACATCACGTAGTTGTTCTGCCGCCCATCCACCTCTGTTCTTCCGGAGTTCGGGGACAGGAGGACGTTACGGGCGGAGGCTCACTTGAGAGAGGTCCCCCGGTGATGTTTCAGTGATGTTGGAGCCAGCTTTCCTAGTATCTAGAAGTATTCGCTGGATGGTACTGTGAGCTATTGGGAGGCTCAGTCGCGCAAGACTGCCTCATTACACGGTTTCGTCTCGTCTAGTGGTATTCGATGGGAGATATTTCGTTTTCGCAGCAGAGATGCGTAAATTCCCGCGGAGGTTTTGTAACCGTGTGGTACGCGGGACGTCTCCCCCCTTAGGTCACAGAAAATATATGAAGGCAATCCGAAAGAATATGAGCATTCTCCAACTTGTTTGAAGGATCAGGTCCATTCTTGGTCGTCGTCCTGTGCATCACCGGTTCGTGCCTTACGCATCCAGGAGGACTGACGCCCGAAATAGATGGGACGATCAATCACACTCACGTTTCGCCCCTCCCTCCGCTGCACGCGCATGATGCGCACTATGTGACTCGTGTGGGCCGTCGTATGATTCATTTCATTTTGCCAACCAAATATGCGGTTCGGCTTGCAAGAGTGATGCCGACGAAACTTGGGAGGCTCGTGACGTTGCGGATACTGTACCATGGCGGGAATGGCTTGACAGGTGACTGCCCGCGCCTTTGGAGTGAGGTCGGTAACCGTGTAGACGTTCGCCGCCGGCATCTCCTGGAGTTACTAGGTGTAATGGGCATGTAGCAACACCTTGATCTTGGTGTGGCAATGTTTACGACTATGGTCAACGGATAGGGAATCCGCCTTGCCATGTTTCCTACAGAAATGAGGACATCAGGTTTGACCCGTGCTTCTCTAGTGCTCTCTTTCCATCAGCGTGTGACGTAGCTGGGATGCCATTGGTATGAGGTATTGGTGTCATTCCTGCCTATACGAGGAGCGCTACTGTGGAGGACCTGGTGATGATAGTTGTCTCGTCGAGAATGTGTCGCTCGCTCATGTAAGGACAGGACACATATCCGAGGAGGGGCGGCCCTCGCTAGACATGGAGTACCGCAACTATCATATCGCATCCTCTGACAGCAGTGCTCATCGAGTGGTTAACGTGAGGATTCTCAGGCGCTTGTGAGCGGTCCCCGCACAGGCGTCCTTTGGTGCTTCAATGTCATGGCATCAGCTATTTTTTTATGGATTTTTTGCACAGACTAGACCGGTGTGTTGTTTGCCTGCTGAAGCAAGCAAGTTTCACTCAACGCATCCCATGGTTCAAATGCGATGTCGTTCGTCTGGTGTCGGATGTTTGTGCAGGTTCCATCGCTTCCATCGCGGAGGAGCTTGGGGGGCTACTCAACCTAGAGGAAACGTTGCTCAATGACAAGAAGCTCATAGGTAAGCTTGTTTGTGCTCCCGTGGGTTGACCTTCGGGTGGCACTGGAAATACGGTCGACGGTGAGAACCAGGTGGCTTCCCCGCCGATGGTCCAGCTGGTGACCTCGTACGTCCGCTGGCAGCTAGTGTTCCAGTATTTCGAGAGTGAAAATCCAGCAGCGGTAGAGCACGCTGTGTCGTGAAGGAGCACACCTGGACGTTCAAGATGCGGAAAGCACCTGCTCATTTGCAGCAGTTTCCCTTACACTGCATGAAGGGTAATATGAATTTGTTGTCGAGGGCCGAAAAAACTGGAGTCTAGTATCAACGGAATATTTCGGAACACCCCCCGGCTCTACGGATGCGTTCGTTTTCTTGTTGTGCAGCACTGGAGGCGTGATGGTACGGATGCCTTGGTTCGATTTTCTGGGCTCCGAAAGAGAGAAAGGTCTTACAGCGTTCTCTCTCTGGTAGTCTGAGGGATATATTGCGTTATAGAGAGACACATCACATACCACGGAGGCTTTGTACTCGTGTGATACGGAGGACGTCTCCCACCGTAGGCCACAGAAACTAATCAAGGCGATCCGAAAACAGAACAACACAGTCCAAAATGCAGGCTCAGGTCCATTCTTGGTGTCGTCCTGTGTATTCCCGGTTCATGCGTTAAGCGTTCATGTGAAGTGACGCCCGGAATAGATGGGACGGTAAATCACACGTACGTTTCGCCTCTCCGTCCGCTGCATGCGCATAATGGACACCATGTGACGGTTTGCCTGGAAATGAGGTGTCTCGTGGTGGCATTACTGTTGTTTCATCCCATTTGCCAAATGAATGTGCTGTTCGGTCTTACAGGAGTGATACCGAAAGAACTTGGGAGGCTCGTGAAGCTGCGGATACTGTACCTTGACGGGAATAGCTTGACAGGTGACTTCCCGCTCTGATTGGAGTAAAATCGGTTACCACGTAGATCTTCGATGCCGGGACCTCCTGAAGGTTCTAGGTGTAGCGGGCAACAGTTTGGTTTTGTTGTGGCATGAATGTTCCCGACCAAGGTCAGCGGAGAGGGAATCCACCTCGTCATTTTCCTTGCAGACATGGAGATTATCTCAGATTTGAGCCATGTTCCTTGAGTGCTCTCTTTCTGCCAGCTTGCAACGTAGCTGGGATTCCATTGGTATGAGCTTTGGAAGCTCGCTCGATACCATTTCTCTACGTTCGAGGAGCGCTGATTCGAAGGATTAACTTGTGATGATGTTGTCGTCTGTGGTCTCGACAGCATGTTCCGCTCGCTAATACGAGGCCCGTGTACAAGCCCTGCGAGGGGCGGCCCTCGCTAGACTTGGAGTACTGTCACACATGTTGTATCGTATTCTCTGACAGCAGTTTCTATCGGGTGGTCGACGTGAGGGTTCCCAGGTCCTTTGGGGTTGTTTTCACACAGACATCCGATGGTGTTAGAATGTCATGGCATCAGTTATGCATTTGTGGTTTTGCGCAAACACGCGACCAGTGTTGTGTTGGCGGGCAGAATCAAGCACGTTTCATTCAGCACAGTACATCGTGCGCGCGATGGTGTTCATGTACCGACGTTTTGTGCAGGTCCTATCCCGAAGAAGCTGGGGGGGCTGCTTGCTCAACCTGGAGCACCTTTAGCTCCAACTCGACGAGCTCTCAGGTAAGGTGATTTGTGCTCCCGTGGGTTCATCAGTGTTGTGTGGCCCAGAAACGTTGCACGACGCAGGATCAGGTGGCTGTCCCGCCGGTGGTCCATTTGGTGACCTCGAATACCTGTTGACAGCTAATGCCCGAGTATTTCGAGAGTGCAGAACCCGGCATTGAACAACATAAGGGTGAAATTGAGAGCGAAACATGAAATTGAGAGTGAGTTTTCGAATTGGAAAGTGCTGTTTGAGAGTGTTCGATATACGGGCGACACTGTAACAGACAAGATTTGACCGGAATGGGAAGCGCAGGATCATGTGTGGTCGATTTGTTGACAATAATACTGTTTCGAGGCGGAGAAGCCAAAATCCAGACTTGTACCGGCCAGTTGAAGTTTGCTAACGGACTTGCCAATTTCCCTCATATCCGAGGTGAAACACTCTCCACCATGAATTGACCGCAGCAAAGGCGTGATGAAGAAGTGCCACCAGGAGCCCGTTGCAAAAAAGATTGATTGTGCCGCGATTGATTGCGAGCGCGGTAGAAGTCAATCAAGGCATGGTTCGCCTAGGTAGTAGGTGGTGTACCTCACGCGAATGGTTATTACAAGCAAGGGTACACGACGATATTGTAGGTGTCTATCGACTTCGTTAGTGGGCCTTACTTCCGGCGTGGTCTAAACGCCGCTGCCGTCAACCGTACCCTGCCTTCTCTTGCGACATCGTTCACTGACGACGGCACCACCGAATCCTGCGAACTAGACGAAGACATCCCCCCGCCCGATTCGTTAGCAAGTGGTTCTGGTCGTTGAGGCGACTGCGGTTGTTGCGCCTCCAATGGTGTGGGAGGCTGCTGCATCCCTAACGAGGCACTAGAAGACGCGCTTCCTCCCCAACCCTGTGTGCTTCCTCCCTCACCCCCCGTTCCTCCCTCACCCCCCGTTCCTCCCTCACCCCCCGTACTTCGTACACTCTCCGTAGATCCTCTCTGACCATCCGTTCTTCCTCCCTGACCCTCATCTGTGCCCTCGCTTTGCTCTTCCATCGGCAACGTACCCATAATAACGGATTTCCATACATGGCTTGGTAACTTGCCCTGAGCGGTAAGGCTCGCGATTTTCGCGCAGACAGACCGTACGTTCCCCCCTCCCACGGAAGGTACCCTCTTCCCAGATTCCACAATGAACTCAGGCGTCCACGCTCCCTTACCGTAGTCGGAGCGAAGGTCACTTCTGACTTGAACCGGCATGTACCATCGCAACTCTAACTCGTCCCCCTCGTCACATTTCTCCACGGACTAGACCTTGCCTACCAAGACTGACGCCGTCCCAGGGGGTGTCGGCAGCGCAACGAATTCCCCAACCTCGACATGGAAAACAGGCCCATCTACCCTCTTCCGCGCACGTGAGCCTGTTCCCCGCCCCGATACCGAACCCGCGCCGGCCGGGCTGGTTGCGCCCGCCGCGCCACTGGGCGTCTGCTGCGATCCATTGCAGTCCGAGGCCGGTTCCTGGTTGTCAAGAGTGTACATGTCACATTCGGAGCCCCAGCCGAATGGTACTGGCGTAGATCTGCTCAACTCTACTACGCTCTCTGCCAACTCCTCCATCCTACTGTTGTAGAGTCCGTCCGCCGTCATTCCATCGGATAGAGAACCTGCGTTGCACAGCCCACATGAGAACGTGCCCAAGGATGAGGCAATGCCGATGCCTTTGATGGGTGATTTCGAGGTTCACACTCCGGAGGGAGCCTTCGGGATGATGCTTGATGATGGAGTACCCCGGCATCCTCTGCTAGATGCTTCAGATTTTAGTGGTTATTTGGAGCCAGAGGAAGTCGCGTCCGATGACTCCACCTTGTGGTTGAAAGCCAGTGCCATGTCGTTCATGTACTACATGAACTTGTCGTTTCCGGACAGTGGTAGGGCGAACGTGACCAGGACTGCTCCGTTGACCACCAACCCGCCGTTGAAGGAAACCGTAAGATCTTCGTTGAAAGATGGCAACGGAATAGTTTGTACTACTAGTCGCGATATTAAGCAGGGGGAAGAACTGTTTTTCCAATATCCAGTACCAGAGGTAGATCAGGGGGCCGGGGAAGAAGGGGGCAGTAGCGCGGGAGAGGTAGGCTCCCCCAGTTGAACAAGCCAAAGGCTTCGTGCTACAGAGGGCTAGGGCATTCATTGTGGTTGCCCATCCGTCTGTCTCTCTCTGTGTTACCGCGAAGGTGATGTAGGTTGGTCTCGTAAGCCCTAGAAGAGTACACCAAGGACTGAAATTTTTTTGTGCCTCTTACCTGACCTACGCACTAACTAATGAAAACACACACACGTTACCGAATGCAGCTGCAGCTGCACAGCGGACTCAGCGCAGCTTTGCAAAGTCTGGCAGTGCGATGGGCCACAACCAATCTTCTTCTGATGGCCAGATACAGGTGCATGAGATTTTGGTCGATACATGGTGGAGAGAGTTTCACCTTGGAAAGCACCTTGAAAAGGAGGGAAATTGTTGGCTACTACTCCGATAGCAAACTTGAACCGGCCGCTACAAGCCCAGATTTTGGCTTCTCCGCCTCGACACAGTAATGTCTACAAATCGACCACATATAATCTTGCGCTTCCCATTCCGGTCAAATCTTGTCTGTTTCAGTGTCGCCCGTATATCGAACACTCTCAAACAGCACTTTCCAATTCGAAAACTTACTCTCAATGTCATGCTTCGCTCTCAATTTCACCAATATGTTGTTATTGGCGATGGAACGCACTCAGTCGTGACGGAGCACACCTGGAAGTGGAAGAAGCGGCTTGACACTCATTAGTTGCGGAACTGCACCGAGCACTTCATGACACGATATGAGTTGGGCGCCCAAGACCGGAACACCCCATGACAGCACTCGGAACACATTGTACATGTGCGAATGCGTTTTGCGTTGCTGTTGTGCCGCCCTGGAGGCGTGATGGTTCCGATGCCTTGGTTCGAGTTTCCGGGATCACAACAAGAGAACGGTCTCACAGCGCCTCAGTCCGGTATTCGGAGAGATATGGTATTCGGGGGGAGATATTGAGAGATTATCTAGTGGCAGAGAGAGGATCAATGTTGCGGAGGCTTTGTACTCGTGTGGTACGGGGAAGGTGTCCCCCGTAGGCCACACAAACTACAAAACCAAGGCAATCCGAAATAGTATTAATAGAATGGTCGCCGTCCTGTGACATGCATTCATGTGGACTAACGCGCGCAGTAGACGAGACGATGAATCACACCTGCGTTTCGCCCCTCCCTCCGCTGCGTGGGCATGATGCACACCATGGGACTGGCGAAATGAAGGTGTCTTCTGGTTGCCCGTTCATCGCCTGGTAATGAAGATTTCCCTGTCGCACGTGGGTCATCGTAAACTTTTTTTTTATTCATTATGTTTGCCAAATAAATATGCTGTTCGATCTTGCAGGAGGTTCGTGCCTCATGGATTCATGCGGACTGACGCCCGGAATAGATGGAATGATGAATCACACTTACGTTTCGCCTCTCCCTCTGCTGCATGCGGATGATGCACAACAACATGTCATTGCACGCGCATCATGAAGGTGTCTACCGGTTGCATTCATCGCCTACGCATGACGGTTTTCCCTGACGCACGTCGGTCGTCGTAAATGCTCATTGCTAAATGAATCGGCTGTTCGGTCTCACAGGAGTAATACCGGCGGAACTCGGGAGGCTTGTGACGCTGCGGACACTATACCGTGACGGGAATGGCTTGACAGGTGACTTCTCGCGCTTTTTGGAATGAAGTCGGTTACGATGTAGACTATCACCACCGGCACTTTCTGAAGCTACTAGCAACGGTTTGGTGTTGATGTGGCACGTATGTTCCCGACCAAGGTCAGCAGAGAGGGAATTCACCTTCCCACTGTCCCTCCAGAAATGGAGACGTCTGTTTTGAGCCGTACTTCTATGGGCTCCCTTTCCACCACCTGACGATGTAGCTGGGATGCCATTAGTTTGAACTTCGGAAGATCTGTGCGCAATGTTCCCGCACAAACGAGGAGCGCTGCTTTGAGGGGTACCTGGTGATTATAGTCGTTTCGCCGTCTGGACAGCATGTTTCGCTCGTTGATGCGACGGCAGAGTACTAGACTTGGAAGGGCGGCCCTCGCTAGACATGGAGTCCCGTAACTAGGTAATTTCCGCGCAGCCATCTACTACTTGTGTTTCAATGTCATGGCATCAGTTATACATTTGTGGTTTTTGCGCACAGAATCGACCGGTGTTCTGTTTGCCGGCAGAAGGAAGCGCGTATCACTCAACACACCGCATGGTGCGGATGCGATGGTGTACGAATACTGTCGGGCGTTTGTGCAGGTTCCATCCGGGAGGAGCTTGGGGGGCTACTCAACCTGGACGAACTTTTGCTCAATGACAACGAGCTCACAGGTAAGGCTGTTTGTGCTCTCGTGGGTTGACCCTTGTCTTGGCCCGGAGAATACGGTCAACGGTGAAGCAGGTGGCGTTCCCCCCGGTGGTCCAGTTGGTCACCTCGTGGCAGCTATTGTAGCTAGTGTTCCAGCATTCCAGAGTGAAGAATCCGGCATTGGCGGTGGAACGCGCTCAGTTGTGATGGAGCACACCTGGACGTGGAAGATGCGCATAGGCACCTGCTCGTTTGCAGCATTTTCCCATGTACCACATTACCCCTCCTAGAATGTACTGGAAGCCCACAGATGGGACACCTTGGGGACAGAGCACTCATATGGCTCTTTCTCGCACCTGCTGCTGCTAAAGGTTCAGCAGTGTGAAACGCACGTGGGAACTCTTGGTCGATCATGCTTGGCTGAGGGAGTGCGCTGTCTGATATGATGTGGATGCCTCTCCTCGGGCTCTGACATGTTGTACACCATTACCCAAGGCGCGTGTCCCCCAGGTCGTAAAACTGTACATCGCCTGGTAATGCAAGAATTTGCCTTCTTGGCTTCGGAATGAAAATTGTCCCAATGTGTCTTTCTTTCCTGCACCCAAGTCAGTCTTTCTCTGGTAAGGAGCTCAAGTTCTGTGAAGGCACTGTAGCTCCTAGACCAATAGCTGTCAAACACCTGTGCGACGTTTGGTTTTGGCGGAGGGACTGGGTGTTAGGAGGGTGAAGGGTATTGATGTGAGCTTTGGAAGCTCTCGCGATATCATTTCTTCACATACGAGGAGCGCTGCTATTAGGGAGTTCCTTGTGATGGAAGTCGTCTCGTCGTCTACATGTAGACAGTATGTTTCGCTCGCTCATGCGAGAGCCGTGCCCAAGTCCTAGATGGGTTGGCCCTCGCTAGATGTTAGATATACTCGCAGCAGTATCTGGTCGTGAGGATCCCAAGGAGATACGTGTTGCGAATTTCGTGTGTTGTAGGGTACCACCGGTGCAGTCACGGGGACCCTTTTGGCGCGGTTGGAACGATGAGGCTTGCGTGCGTGTTGCGCACTTCTTTCTTCCTTATCTCGTTCCACCGCTACCGCCGTCTCTCTCCAATCAAGTTTCCTTCTCCCACTCTCTCTTCAACTCTCTCTCAATCTCTCACTCTCGGCCTAACACGGCCGAGTACCCAGTGCCCCAAGTATCACCCAGGACGGGCTTGCTGCACCCCGCGTAGTGTACTAGGTTAACCTGTCACACTAGTGTGCCGATATCACGGTATCTGCGCGCGGGCGTAGCCTTCCGGGGGTTGTGAAATCACGCGCAATCGGTAGACTCCCACAACAACAGACACCATGGAGGGCATCGACCTCTCCGCCCTTAGCGGGGAAGCACTACAACAAAAAGTGCAGGAGATCGTCCAGCATCTAGTACAAGCCGAACTTGAAGCCAACAGGATCAACGAGGGTGAAGTCACCCACGCCCAATCACCAGCCGTCAACCTAGCCCCACCTACTGGCAACCAGCCATCACCCTCCAGCCAAGGCAAACCAGCCACCTTCAACGACCCCAGCAGCGTCGCACACATCGTGGCGCAAGCAGCTAAGGCGACAGCTGAGGCCTTTGCTGAACAACAGGACTTTGCCCGCTCAGGCACGTTACGTGTCAATCCTGGCTCAGAAATAGAAACTTGGCTTGGCAGCGTGAAGAATGAGCAGGACTTGAATATTATGTTTGATATCTTTTGTAGTAAGATGATTTCAGATTTTCAGGAGGAGGGTGTGCATGATGCGTTGGAACTGGAGGTCGAGGTCAAGGTCGGAAAGAGGGGTGTGAATGTAGCAGAGCTTCGGAGACTTTTTGGCAATGATGCGGTAGACAAGTCTTTCACGCTATGGAATATTCTCATCAGCAACGTTTTGTCCCCCCCGATTCAGAGCTTGATTCTGGCGTGTGAGAGTCCACAAAAAGGCTAGAAAATAGTGACAGAGTTCTATCAGAAGAAGAAACAGTCAGAAAAGTCGAGGTTGGAGCAGGACTGGAAGGAGTTGGAGATGAAAGCGTCTGAGAGTCCACAGGACTATATTGCCCGGGCAGAAGCCCTTCGCTTGCGTCTAGCGTCTGTAGGCATGACTAAGGATGAAACAGATGCCAACAAAGACATTGCTGGTGGCCTTCCCCCTTCGTATGTCGTGCAAAAAGGAATACTGCTTGCCCACG